TTGGCTTTTAAACTCGATCTAGACGGTGCCTCAGACGACAACCGTACCGTGTATAACAACGTGGCGAGAAACCTGGTTTCGGAAATAAACGTAAGCTTACAAGGCAATAAAATCGTAAGTTACCAAGATACGGACGTGTTTCATAATTTTAAGGACAACTGGCTACCTCTGTCGAGTTAAAAAACAGAAAACCTGCCGAATTACAAGAACCGATTCAACCAAAGCCGACTGTTCAACCAAAAAGCGAGCGGCCCGAGATTTTAGATATGGAATAAATTTAAAGACTCCTTATATTAAAAATGAGTAACGCTAAATCAATCGACGTAAATGGAATTGCCAACACGGTTTACCACGGCGCTGTGGTTTCAGCGATCTCCATAGGCTACGCTATGCTATCGAGCAAGCTATTCAAAATTAAACCGCCCGATTTAAATAAATTATCTATCGAAGACGCGTTAAAACTGACCGCAGTGTCAAGGGGTGCTATGGCTACCCAGGGTTGGCTAGTGGCACAAGGCATATTGCCCGCGAGTTTACCGACCGCATAAAGTTGTTTTTTATAAAAATCATTTATTTTAAAGTTAAAGTAAAATGGCCGAAGGAGGATTTGAACTAGATGATTTCACGGCACCTCCGGAAAAGAAGAAGAGTTGGACGATACCTTCGATACCGGTGGAACGGTTAGATTAGAAACGACGACAACGTCGGTTAGACCAAAATTGTTCTTAAATCCCCGACCAGGTTTAGGCCCAGAGGTAACTCATCCAAAAGTCGATAAATTTTACGAAAATTACCGCGACATGGGTAGAACAGACATACCGAATGACCCAAATTACAAATTATTTGAATATCGAGAAAATAAAGGGCTATTTTTAAAGGTGGGGAAAGAGGGCCAAAACGGGAAGTACTGATAACGAGTAAAAAGCAAGTTGGGAATTTGTAACTCTCGATACGATTGCCGACCGCGCGAGAGAGGCTGGATATGGTGGGACGAGTTTTGCTCAAAACGTTCTAAGATTTCATGATTACGGCAAAAAATAGCCCGGGCGAGCCAGAGTTTAAAAACGATTCAACCGGAACAAATCGAGCTAAATGAATTACCCGCAGCTGCGGATCGAGTTTGCGAAATTGTCCAAGATCTAATCGGAGAAAAATAAAGAAGTTCAAATAGATTTCAGAGTGACCGCCTCCGACTGTGAAATCCAATTGACCGTGTAAGTACTCGCGTGACCCGAGCCTTTAGGCGGTTTAGCCCAGCCAAAGCCCATGTAAGTAGATCCTGCGTATTTACCGTTGGTCACGTGTAAATCGTAGTTTTTACCCGGGACAGGTACGTAACCGTTGTCGTAATAATAAGCGGTAACCTAATCCGTTTGACAAAGTGTCGCGAGTTTGATAATATAATTTATTCGGATTGACGTAATTGGTCGTAATTATTGTGTAACGCAGCAAATCAAAACCCACGCCGCAGGCAGTCGTCGCGCAATAGACCGCAAAATTAAATTGATTTTGATAAAACGAAATTGGACCCGTTACCCAGCGATTGACGGCTTCATCGGTGGTTACTTTTGGTAATTTATACGCGCGCGTTAAATTTGGAAACTCGGCTGGAAAGAAAATTTTCTTCGTTGACTAAAATTTTTAAACTACTAAAGTTAGCTCCCATTTATTTCATAAGTCTTTTAAAGGAAGCACCGTCGGTTGGATCGCTTCTCGATAAGCGGGTGGTAGATCTTGATATCGGACCGACGTTGTAAAACTTATTCGCTAAGTTTTTTCATAAGATCTTTTTTAAAAACCGCCTCCCGTTCGTTGGCTAGCACTTCTGCTCTTTCGTTTAATTGGCGTTCAAATTCTTCTTTACTGCTCGCTTCACTCGCTTGCAATTTGGTGCTCGTGTTTAATCTAATTTTTTCCTTCATTTCGTTAAATTTTTTCAGCTCGGATAAAAATAAGTACAAATTCTTCCTGGGATATGTCACCGTCTTCGATCGAGTGTGATACGTATTCCTCAATGGTGTTTAAAATACCCCGCTTCAAACTGTACATTCTTCACCCTAATTGCCTTGGCACCTTTTGTATTATCAATCTCGTGTTTCAATTTAAACGTCTGCGGGTTTTCGGTCAGGTGAAAAGTGTGGGTCTCCATTTTATTTTATTCGCGTTTAAACAATGTCGATTTTAAGTAAAATTTTACCGTCTTTGTTGTTGACTACCTCTTGCTGCTCGTCAAAACTGGTTATTCGCTTATTTACGAGTAATTTAACGCTTTTGCCTGGGTCTGACGCGGTCAGGTCGCCCGTTAAAGTAATTAAATGGTCGTTTATCTTTCCCTTGTAAATCACGTTTGGTACGAGTCTACCTCTCGGCAGATTTAAAAGTTTGCCTACTTCTTTACCCAACGTTAATCTGAGATTTAAATCCGTTATCATTATCGTTACCAAATTTGACTTTTCGTGAACTTTGAAACTCACACCCGGAATGGCGTTTAAAATAAAATCAAACCAATCCACGTTATAAAACCCCGGAAGAATAATTACGTTTCCCTGTTCTCCGCCTTGTAGAAAATCCTCGATGGTTTCTCTTTTGTGCAATCGATGTATCACCAGAGCGTTTGAACCAGAAGCCGTGACTAAAAGAGTAGGCCTGGGTTCGGTTTGAGCGGCTCTGATGGTTCTCGTTCTTTCTTGGTTGTCGTCGCCTAAAAATCCCTCTTGAATAAATTCTAAAGCGATGCGGTGGGCTTCTTTGTAAGTATCAAATTGGCCTTGGGATAAAAGTATTAAATAAATTAACGCGTCTTCTTTCTCTTCGTCCGATGCTGACCTTAATCTCGAACTTTTACTAGTTAACGTTTTAATTTGATTCTCAAGATCATTTATTTTTTGACTAATTGAGACACCGAATTCTTCATAAGCTCGAATGTAGTCTCTTATTACGTCATAAAGCAGAACCAAGGTACCCATCTGCAATTCTGAAAATGGTACTGTCAGTTCGAGTGCTTCTATGAGATCTATGTTAATAACAGATACTGGTGAGTCAGCCTGTATTGCTGGTCTAACTCCATCGGAAACTCTTTCTGCGGGGCTTCCTTCTATTTGAGTTTGCCATTCAATTTCGGTAGATTTTGTAAGGTTAAAGTAACCAGGGCAAAAGCTTACTTTTAAATTGTCGATTTGATTTTCTAATTTAAACGTCTGCTCGCTTTTGGTTAAGTAAAACGTATGAGTCTCCATTTTATTATATACGTTTTGAAAAATCTTGTTCGGCGAGGTTTAATTTGTCGAGGGCGTGTTCCCAGTGCTTATCCGAAACTTGAAACAGATCTTTTACTTTAGATTCGGTTCCCCCAGTTACGTCTTGATAACATACCGCGATTAAAACCTTCAACGGTTTACCTCTAGAAATCTTGCCGTTTAGAACTCGGTTTAACTTATATTCTATTTCACCCGCTTCGCTGTTCTCCAATGAACGTTAAACTCTTTTAAAGTTTTTCTCGATTTTGGTAGCGGCGGTTTTTTTCCAATAGTGATGCTTGTAATATCTATCTCCCATGTCTACAGGTGTGTATGAGGAAACCCACCCAAAAATTAGACCGCAATGTTTACACGCATATCTTTCGTCTATTTCTAATACGTAAGGATCACACGTGTTTTCGGGTCGTGGTGGTGGGGTTGGCCATTTAGGTAACGAGCCGGTTAAATGATAAATCTCTGCGTCAGTCATTTTTTATTAATAGTAAGAAAAAAAAATTAACCTCAATTATTCCGACGAATAACCGAGGTTCAATTAATTTTTCTAAGTTAATCATAAGTTAATTATTCAAATTTAATCGACTTTTATAAAAGTTGATTAAATTTGAAATTATAATTTCACGGGAGATTCAGATCCAGTTCAGATCCAGATATAGTGTTAAACGCTTGCAATGCCGACTTACTCGAAATTAGTCCGTCGTTTCTAATTTCTAACATTGCCACTGTCACTCTATACCGAACGCTGGCGCCGCACGACAGTGAACCGTGGGTACTGTAGTATGTACGTCTTTTGGACAAATAAATGATTGCGCGTCGCATCTCTTATTGATAAATTTATCGATATTTATCGGTCTTTTTCGGTGAGCAAATAGGGCGGGATCTATTTTAACGTACATTTGGTTTTAGCCGTATAAGGTGGTTTAACTATATATTCGATCTTGTTCAATTCATCATCGATATCGCGACTGGCTTTGTAGGCGTTTACGGTGTTAGACGGGAGTTTAGACTCTTGAAGTTCGATGAATTTATGATCGAGTATGTTTGTGGTAGGTCATTGTATTTGGTAACAAATTTGACGGCCTGTGATGTTTTCGGGGGTTTTATCTCGAGTGCCGTATTTGTAAAGCGGGTTTATACCGTAACAGGGTTCTATTGTCATAATCAACAAGCGTATATTTTGGCCGTAGTGACGGTAAAAATGGGAGAAGTGCATTGGCTAACTTGAGGCCCTTTCTTAATCACGGGTTTCGAAATGATTTATTTACTCGGGTCAAAGGGACCGTAGGTGACA